ACTGTAAAAAAAACCCCTTATAACACCCCAAAAAAACTTTCTTCCCTTTAGTCAGGTTTTTCGGGTTACGTCCGCATTTTAAATTTTTTCTTTGAAAACCAAAATTTTATAAAATTTCTAATTTTTAGATTTCACATTGTGAGTGAACAATTATATGTGACTATCACGTGCAATATATCACGTGCCAAAAATTATATGATTTTTACATACAATTATCATATCTCGGGTACAACAATGTTAGACAGTACATCGTTTGAGATTACCTATTACCAAATAAAGATGTAAATTGTTATAAAGATAAAGTAACGTTGATGTACGTACTTGCATCTATGGCTCAAATTAGGAAAGATTGAACAAGACGCGAAAGCTAAAGCGAAAACTCACTCACTCCCTTGCTCGCTCGCTCGCACGCTCGCACACATAAAAACGCACAAAGGCACTCATTCACTCACTCTCTCACTCACTTAGTTGGCAATTAGGTACGTATATAAATAAAAGATATTATATAAATAAATATATATATAATGTATTAATAATTATATATTTATAAATGAAAACATAAACATACAATAAATAATCAAATGAATTAATAATTATTTTAAAAACAGACAAGAACGAAAGAAAGAAACAAACGTCCTAGATAAACCGTGGTAATATAACGCCCTTGTGATTATTACAGTGTAAACAATTAGATTTCCGATTGATAAGATCTAAACAAATTTCTTATTCCTGTAACGCGTAGTGTATAAATGTTAACGACTTTGTTATGTGATCGAAAGGGTATTAGGAAGTTATTGACTGTGTACCCTCAAAGTTTGTTGTTTAAATAATTGACTGATTGATTGATTGAGTGAGTGATTGATTGATTGGTTGTTAGCTTGATTGATTGATTGTTGAGTTGATGGTTTTGACCATGGTTGGTCGATCACTAAATAATTGATGACAAAATGATTTTATCTTTTGTCCTGTATACTCAGTACATTTTTAGCAAACCAGTATAAACCAGTATAATTTGATATATTGAGATATGTTTTTAAAACGATAGTAACCCTTTCCTTTATGATCATATTGTTCAAAATAGCCGTTTTCAAGAAAAGCCTCCTGTTACAAGTTCAAACTGCTATGAAACTATGACAAATGCTTCAATACTGATGAAACTTTGCACAAATGTTGACTGGACAATAGCCTTTGTAACAGCATGTTCAATCTTAAATTTCCCTTTTCCATGGCAACGTGGGGGCTCGTCTCAAAATTGCCCAAAAATATTATTTTGCCTAGTTTCTTTCCTTTAAAACTGATTTCAAAGTGCTGCAACCTTTCAATGGATTGAGATAGAGTAAAAGGTATTTTATTGTTGGTTACACGTTACCTTACGATCGACCTGAGTTCATTTTTAGCCTGTCACATGTCCAAATTTTCTTGGCGATGAAGAGGACAGCCGCCCCCTTCAAACCCCCAAAACAAAGAGGGGACCCCACTACTGGCAACCACTGGATGTTACTTTTTGAAAGGGGCGGCGCCGAAAAAATGATCACTTTTTTATCAACATTTCTCAAACGAAAAACACTGTTTTGGGCCTAAATAGAGCGTAAAGCTGTCAAAACACGTCTATATGAAGTAAAGGGTTAAATATTTAGAACAAAATATCACTATTGTGACATTAATTGTATGATGTTATCAGCAAATAAAAGTTCATTACTTGTAAGATTTGGATATTTTTTTTTGATTACCTAATTTCAAATTTTATCATAAAGGTTATCGAATTATTGTAGTAAATAATTAGCTAGTCGCTAGTATAAAAACTATCATGCTGTATATTGTCAGCTTATGGAGTCCAAGTTAAAGTATTGATCAATATTCCAATTTAACAATTCGGATACATTCGTCACTTTCCGTATTCAATTTTCATGCTTAGTTAATCTTCGTATGACACGTAAATATTCGAGAAATATTGAATATTCACTTTAAGTATCATACCATTTTTTTTTAAATAATGATATTGAATAACTCTTTTGTATGGAAGACAAAGTACTACATTCTTCGCATTTTACTATCTTTATAGGGCACACAACCACGGCATCGTAAAGTCTCTTGATTATTTGTTTAATTGAGCGATTTTCTTTTAGAAATAGATCTAAATCACAATGATTTAGTGCCAAAGTAATATTATACATGTATAAACACTGTTTATCACTATATTAGATAAACCTGTAACCCTTTGGTTGGGAAACGCAACATATTATATTAATATGCGACCAGGGCCGACCATGAATAAATCATCCTTCCTCTGTTGAGAACAGGCGGCACCTGGATTTCGCCTATTAAGTCATTAAATTTTTTGAAATATTCCCTCAAAATGATGAATGGTTTCGTCCATATCGAAAGATGGACAAGTCCATGTAAGAAATATAGCGAGGGGAAGGCTTAGATATACAGTCTTGACAATCTATTTTAAATGTTCTGTCTACCTTTGTGTATTTTGGAGAAAGAACTTCTTATGGTGTTTAATGTCTGCCCGCCTATCAAACGAATATCATAAACTATAAAAGAAACGGTACGAAAGTCGAATCATAAAGTCATTTATCCTGCACACGAAAAATGCTTTTTAGTAAATGATTTTTTATGAGATATTTTTAGATTTTAAATGGTTTTGTTATTATCGGGGAGTTAAATTTAATTTTAAACAGTCATCTTTCGTTCTGCTATATATATCATTATCATCCACTTGACTTCGCGTATTTAATATCATCACTGATCGTAGATCACTCGAAACTATATATCTTTCTTTCATCCGGCCTCTTCTTGAATACTCAGATGTAGTCTGGGATAATATTACTCAACAAGATGAATTCGAGTTAGAAAAAATCCAACTTGAAGCCTGCAGAATTATAACTGGTACAACGAAACTTGTTTCTTTCTCAAATCTGTATGAAGACACATGTTTTCAACCCCTAAAAGTAAGAGCACGCTATAAACACAAACTAATTCTGCTATATAAAATGTTCAATCACACTATCTCCACAATATCTATCTTCCATAGTTCCAAACACAGTAGGACAAACTTCAGTATACAACTTACGAAAATGCAAGTAACACTAGAAATATTTTCTGTCAAACTCAACTTTATTCAAATTCATTCTTACCATCTTTCGATTAAAGACTGGAATGATCTCCCTGTCGAACTAAGAAATGCACCATCGCTTGCAATTTTCAAAAAAAGACTAAATGAAGATGTCCAAAAAGTTCCAGCTCACTATTATATAGGTGAAAGAAGATATCAAATAATACATACACGATTAAGAACACATTGCAGCTCTCTGAAAGAACATCTGTTTTCTAAAAACATAATAGACAGCCCTTTTTGTATATGTGGTGAAATAGAAAATACAGAACACTATTTCCTCCGCTGCCCCATGTATCAAGATGACCGCACTGTCCTTATAAACAATTTAAGTCAAATCACAACTGTAACATTGAATAATTTACTATACGGCGATAATTCACTTACCGGTGCTCAAAACGAAACAATTATAGCACATATACATAAATACATACAAAAAACAAAAAGATTTGATACATAATAATATTCGTTTGAAAAGAAAAAGGTCCTCCAACTCCATAGTAGTAAAGTGACTTTCTTTCTTTCTCTTGTTCCTTATCTCTTTTTCTCTTCTATTATTACTTCTCCTCCAAATGTACATGTTTTAATAATTAAATTTCTCAACATATTAGTTTAATTAACCAATCACTAAACTAAGCAATAATATCCCTTTAAAAATGAATTCATACTCGTGCTTATACCTCTAATCTAACAGCAATGTATCTTAAATTTAGTTCATGAATACTTGACATAAACATAGTATGTATAGTAAGAAATCAAGAACAAGTCGATATGATATGTATAGTTTAGTTTAGATATTTATATTTTGTTACCATTTATTTGAAATTTGTTAAATACTGATTACGGAGAGAGTTTTCAAAAAAGCTTTACAAGCTTCCTACTCAATCCGTAAATTTTATTTTATGTAATTTATTATGTAAATGTGTGGATTATTAATAAAATATTGTTTAAACTAATATCATAAAGTATTGATACTTTACACACTCTCATATCTTATCTCATCCCCTTTTAAAAATAAATACATGATTTTAAAAACAATTAATTCAAATAAATGCAACTTTAGAGGTCCATTATGCCCCCTCCGATACTCCTTTTCTGATTGAAACCTTTTAACTGCTCGTTTTCCGTTATAGTTTCAAAAATGAGACTCATCGGCAATTTACGTGAAACATCTTTTGCTTCTGTTGCTTTTTGGTAATAAATACAGTTATAGTGATTTATTATTTTGTATGGAAGTGAAAATGCAATGTTGTTTACTCTTTACAACTTTTATGACACACAATGTCCATTTTAGTAAGATTTTATTTTTATAATGTATCTAACATGCTATTAAAAGATTATTTAAACGTTATAAAATCGATGTCTGCACTTTCAAATGAGGAAAAATTTATTTGTTTTCTGAAGCATAATGTGAATACGGTTACATAATTAATTGTAAGCCATGGTAAACACAAGATTTATAACGTTTAAATAATGGTTTTAGAGAATGTTAATTTGTATCACCCGAAGAAAATAGCACTGGATGTGAAATGATTTGTAATGAAAATTCCAAAATGTAATCAAATAGTATTTTGACCTACACAAAAAACGTAATCGCTAAAACTGAAATGATTGCCAAAGGGCAACCGGAAACAGAAAATGGTTTAATCAATTGTTAATTGTAAAACATTTTGGAAATTATAATAGGAAACCAAAGTTAAAAGACTTTTTAAAATCATACAAAAAACATTTCTGGGAGCATATATGGGCCTAAACCCCCCCCCCCCCCCCAAAAAAAAAAAAAAAAAAAAAAACAAATATACAACATATAAGTAAAATTACGAACACTTCCACGAAGTGACTGTTGGAAAAAATCACACACAAAAATTCTCTTTCTTACCTTTAGTCAGGTTGTCTTTATACGTCCGGAACTAAATTATTTCATGAAAACCAAAGTATTTATATAATCTAACTTTAGATGCTCACATCATCATATCTCGGGTACACAATGTAAGACAATACACGGTTTGAGATTACCTATTATAAAATATAGATGTAAATTGACATAACGATAAACAAACGTTTATGTACGTACATGAATTTATGACTCAAAACAGGGAAGATTGAACAAGACGCGAAAACTAAAGCAAAAATAACAACTCACTTAATCCCTCGCACGCACGCGTGCATAAAAACGCACGCAGATACTCATTCATTCATTCACTCACTCACTCACTCACCCACTCTCTCACTCACTTGGTTGGCAAAAACGTAGATAATAAATAAATATATAAATAAATAGATAAACAAATAAATAAATGAATATATAAACAAACAATAAATAATCGAATGAATGAATAATTATTTTTTAAGCAAAGAAACAAACAAACACACAAACAAGAAAGAAACAAACAAAGAAACAAATGAATTTAGACAAATAGTTAAATTTTTCACGTTCCTGACAATTGTATTTTTTAATTATGGGTAAACTATGTACACTGATTAATCCACATTTTCTTGCACTCTATCTTCTCCGGATCATCATTTTATGATTTTACAAGATTTCAAGGACCAGTTGTCGAAAATATTTTTTATAGCGAATTGCTTTTTCAGTACACACCCCGGGGGTTATGTAGAGACCGTTAAGGTTGGCATAGTAACAGCTGTTGTACCACCAGCCACCCTGGTACTTCATGGCACAGTTTGCACCATACTTGTCTACATCGTGGTCATAGGTTGAATATGCCTGGCCATTGTGGTACGGCCCAACGCTTTCACTGAACCACTTGGAAACTTGTAAATAGAAAATGATTCGAATTTACTAAAATTGCATTAGATATGATTTTTCTAAAGCGCATTCACTGACGTACTTGAGCACATGTCAAAGAAGAAATTGGAATACACCTAAGATTTAAAATGATTTGAAACTTGTAAAGTAAGCAAATTCGAATTATATAAAATGCTTAAAAAATAATAAAATGTTCGCATGCGTAGAAATGACAATATTTAGATGTATTCGTAGACATGTTTACAATTTTTTAAATAAATAAATGAATAAATAAATAATGAATAAATAAATAAATTAAAAAAAAATAATAATTAAATAAAAATGCATATTTGTACGAAAGAATATGTAAGAAGGTGGGTTTTTTCTCTGTCAGAGTTAAGTGACATTCACGACTTGTTCAACTGGTATATCGCAAGTATTTGAACAAAAAAAGTTATTCAAGTGCATATAATAATATATACCACGGTATCATTTAATCTATGGAACGATCGGCTGCCGTATAAGTGATTTTTCTGCGGTGACTTTATTTCTGCGTTTTCTGCGGTCAGTTTCGGCACCGCAGAAATGAAAGCCGCAGAATATTTCGCTTACCTGCTACGATATTCCTACATTGTGACCTGTTTCGTCTAAATTAATAACGACTAACAGGTTATAACGGATAGCGGGTTTTCGAGTTGTATAAAATTGCTGTCGGCTAAGTATGTTATCTATGTTTGTAAGGATGTACTTATTGTTAATTATTCTAATTTAAGAATAAAGATATTTCAAACCATTCCAACTTTTAATACTGCTAAATATTCGTTGTTTACTTTAATTGTCATCTCATTCACGGTATACTTCTATCAATTTTATTAAATTAAAGATATTACCAGGGTATAATTTTCACACGTCACTTCACGCTGACCTTTCTATTGTTGCGCATTATATGTGTTTGCACGCAAACAATATAATTGTTCGTAATTACTAAACAGTTTTGCGGTGACGACAAAAAACAAATGCGAACGAACGTGTAAATGCAAATATGATAGATAGGGTAATGTGACTTAGACTTTGATAAAACGAGTCGCAGAATTAAAATCACGTTTTGTCCAAACAATGTGCCGCAGAAATAAAGTCCGCAGAAATAAAAACATGCTAAAATTTGGAAAAACCGTAGAATTTGGAGCCCGCAGAAAAAAACAATTATACAGTACGTTATATAGCGAGTACTGGCGTTCCAAACATGAGCACTATTATATGCATCATAAATAAGATACGGGTCGTTAGCAATCTTTTGGTAAACTAGAAATGTGTCATCATGCCACGGATGCCCCCGCATGCAGCCAAAATTTCAGATGGTGCATTAATTTTTTTTTTTCATTTTAAGTTCAAAGCCCTTAAAACTTTTCAATGTTAACACAAACCATTTCCATACAACGTTCAAGGCACTGAAATTATTCAGTCTTAACCTTTAGAAAAAGCATATTGCATATTTGTAGCCAAAATAATGGCTAAAAGAATGAGTGCTGAAACTGAAAGTTCAAAATTTTTCCAACATTCAGGAAAGATAAGTTTGTCTAAAATCATTGAACCATGACCAAATTCAAACTTAAACTGCTTATTCCTAAGATGTATCTAAATTATTTTCAAAGTGAAAGGGACATAACTCTGCCAAAAATCCATCAAACCATGACCAAATTCCAACTTGACCTGCCCATTCCTTTGACATATCCATATGTCAAATTAAAATTGAATATGTAACACTGTTAGGTAGATAATGAACAGAAACTGTAAATTTCATATTATTTTCAAAGTGAAAGGGACATAACTCTGCCAAAAATCCATCAAACCATGACCAAATTCCAACTTGACCTGCCCATTCCTTTGACATATCCATATGTCAAATTAAAATTGAATATGTAACACTGTTAGGTAGATAATGAACAGAAACTGTAAATTTCATATTATTTTCAAAGTGAAAGGGGCATTACTCTGCCAAAAATCATTGAACCATGACCAAATTTGAACTTGACCTGGGCATTCCAAAAACATATCCATATGTCAAATTTGAGTTGAATGTGTTGTACCATTGGGGAGATAATAAACAGAAACTGAAAATTTCATATTATTTTCAAAGTGAAAGGGGCATAACTCTGCCAAAAATCATTGAACCATGACCAAATTTGAACTTGACCTGCGCATTCCATTGACGCATCCATATGTCACGTTTGAGTTGAATGTGTTGTACCTTGAGGGAGATAATGAACGGAAACTGAAAATTTCATATTATTTTCATAGTAAAAGGGGCATAACTCTGCCAAAAATCATCGAACCACAACCAAATTTGAACTTGACCTGCGCATTCCTTTGACGCATCAATATGTCACGTTTGAGTTGAATGTGTTGTACCTTGAGGGAGATAATGAACGGAAACTGAAAATTTAATATTATTTTAAAAGTGAAAGGGGCATAACTCTGCCAAAAATCATCGAACCATGACCAAATTCGAACTTGACCTGTATTTTCTCATGACATATCCATATGTCAAGTTTGAGTTGATTGTGTTGTACCGTTGGGGAGATAATGAACGGAAACTGAAAATTTCATATTATTTTCAAAGTAAAAGGGGCATAACTCTGCCAAAAATCATTGAACCATAACCAAATTCGAACTTGACCTGTATTTTCTCATAACATATCCATATGTCAAGTTTGAGTTGAATGTGTCCAACCGTTCTTGAGATAATGAACGGAAACTGAAATTTCATATTATTTTCAAAGTAAAAGGGGCATAACTCTGCAAAAAATCATCGAACCATGACCAAATTCGAACTTGACCTGTATTTTCTCATGACATATCCATATGTCAAATTTGAGTTCAATGTGCCCAACCGTTCTTAAGATAATGAACGGAAACTGATGATGACGGAATGACAGAATGACGGAAGGACGGAAGGACGGAAGGATGGAAGGACGGAAGGACGGAAGGACGGAAGGACGGAATGACGGAACAGGGTAACACTATATGCCCCGGCCATTACATGGCGGGGGCATAAAAATCGACAATATCAGATAAACTGAAGGGTAGATAAATTATAATAATAATAATAATAAACAAAAAAAATAGCGCGTAAGCTGTTCGTCCAATCAGCCGCTCGCGCCTCCGCCATTGTGTCTGATTGTTCTTTACGTCATAACGGTAAACGTTTTGGACAAGTACTTTTGTGTAATTGAGAGAGATATAAGCCAACTAGCGTTAGATTACAACAAACCTTTATATTTATCATTTAACAATTTTATGAAAATTCATCAATGTTTTTTTTTTTCAATACGAGAAAAATGCAATATTTGAACACTAAGCTTACAAGTACAAATGTTGATGCAATGTAACAACTGAGAAGCTCCGCGCAAAAAAATATGCGCTCATTACAAATACCTTACCAAATCACAGCGCACAGGTCATTTTCTGTTTAGATTAAGTACTCGTGAACATTATCAAAGGGCATCCAAGCAAGAAATGCAGCAATTGACGATGACCTATTAGACATCTGATGACCAGATATTCTTATAAAATTTTCAATGGTTAATTGGATTCAACCAGAATAGTGTACATGTATATCATAGATTAATGGGCTGACGAAAGACAATGTTCATATAGCCGCGTTGCGACTTATAACGGCGCCACAAACACTGTTTGCAAAATTAAAACAATTCCTTTATCGAAGATGAATTTCATGTATCTTTTTTTTTGTAAGAGATTTTGTCAAATAAGACAACGTTATATATCTCCATGGTACAGTCATGATTATACATTCCATTATTTTTGTGATTTGATTAAAACTCAAAATGAAGAAAAAATAAATAATATTGCTTTATTCACGAAATTATGAAAATTGTTGATAATTAATATAAACAGGAAAAATGTCATAGATAAAACATCATAATAGAGTCATTTCAATTCCGAAGCCCAAAGTGGACATAGGATAGTGCAGCCTTAACAATGCGGCTGATGAAAAAAGTAGTATTTCGAGACACATATTTTTAATAATAAATTTAAATAATGTTCACTATCTATATATACATGTTTGTTATTGTGTGCTTTGATAATTTACTTGTTTGTTTTTCATAAAACATGTCCATAAACTTGACTATCTTTATCTGTAAAAGTCACAAGATGTGATAACAATGTTCTATATTAAACTAACACAATACCTATTCTGGTGACATCAATGTACACGTGACAAGAGTTGATTACATATCTTAAAATTTCACCCATTATTAATCCATTCAGGGTTGCGGTTTCAAAGATTAAAAGAGATGGACAAAATTATAGTTTTAATTTTTATTATAAAAACTTCAAATAGTTAAAATATTCAAGTTGTATATGATTGAATGTTTGCAAACTTACCTGTCTTTGCACTATATCAAAGCTATGTACGTGTGCTTCGATAAAGATCATAAAAATGCGTGTAAAAATACGTTATAATATGACCGTCAGAAAACCGATATATAGATCTATTTCAAAATATGTTTCCTGTTCACTTGGTATTCGGCTTTGGTTTAATCAGTCATGTTTAGCGTTTTATTTGGTATGTTTAAGAGAAAATGATAAAACTGAATATTTTACGGATATCCCGCTGGTCTGATTACAATGGATTACATGTTCAAATTAGAAACACTGGTTAAACCGCTCTATTTATGTTGTTGTTTTAAAACCACAAATTACATTTGACACAGACGCATCAGCTTCAAATTTCTATTTGAAAGACCGTGGCATATTGAACTGGCATGTGATGTTGTTTCGAAATTTTCTCATATATATTTTTTCTGTAGTTGAAACAAAAGTAACTTAACAATGGTCTCAAATTCTGCGTGCGCCGAGTATTTGTTACTGCGGTTGTAGAATCGCAAGGCGCAATTTCACCATTTTCCCTGAATATTTGAATGGAATCCTTGGACTAAAATACCCATGACTGCTGCACAAAGTGAGTTCTTTTGCTTTAGGATCCAAAAAATAAGTAATTACTACATGAATGAATAATTGTGATTTATTTTTAAAATGACAGTTCTTAAAATAAATCTAAACAAAATTACCAAATGTTTATTAACTAATGTTTTAACAAAGAATGCTAAGCAAAGGTGGGTCATAATATATATAAAATATTATAGAAATATAATCTACTAAGTCATACATCATAAATGAATGCAGGTGGAGGGGAGGTGTTGGTACAGCTTAATTCTAAGTAAATTTTAATTTAGCTTCAATGCTTATTCTGCATCAACTACTCGCAGAAAGATGGCGACTGTTTATCAACAATTTTTCATGCCGCTGTGATACGGTTCGAACAAAGAAATCATTCGAAGAAATCATGCACTAATCACGCGCTGGTGTCATAATAGTTACACAGCGTGATAGTTACTAAATAAATTGGGTTGTCGACCACTAAATACCCTCCTTTCCACCTTCGGCTGAAAACTCCTAATAGATTTACAAGTACAACTTCTCAATCCAAACAACTTTATCTTTGATGAAAGTAGCATTAATTTTAATAATTTCATCTTATCTGATCTTATATTATAGACTAGTTCCGATTTATTTCAATATATGGTTTGCTCAATTCAAACAACATCTGCCTCAGCTACATCAAAGGTCGGCGTTATTTTTATCAATCATATTAAGACAAATTATACAGGGTTAAAATATATCTATTTAAGGCATATGTATGTTTTAAACCGTAAATGAGTAGATGACAGATGCAAGTCAATACAATCAAACAAAATACTATATTATTATATATTATTATACTTTTTATCACATTATTATGTACATAGGTATTAACAAATTAAAGCAAAATAAAAAATATGATACCATTTCATCATTACTTTGATTGGCACTTAAGTTGTTGATTTTTATTTTGAAATTAAGTCTGTCGTCTCGATGAATTATGTTGAATCACTTACTTAGCAACATAAACACTTTAACAAAAATTAGCCTATTTTATGTCATATAAAAACTCAGCTTATGTAGTAAAATGGCATTCCTTTGCAATTCTTTCATTTCATCTAAGCTGTACAAAGCTTCAACGCACGTTGCTGTAACGATAAAAAAAGGTATATGATATTTATCCTATGTAAAATATTTCTGATATCTTTATTACAGGCACATTGAATATTTCACAGGATGCTTGCAATTTTTCTGCCCTTTTTAAGAATCTCGCACACAATAGTATGAATACACTGAACGGATATGGTATTCCGGTGTCCCGTAATATTACCACGCGTGTGTTTATTACGTGACACTGGTCTAAATTACTCTTAAAAAATAAACATGTAAACAAGTCATTAAATGCTATGTTTGTTGAGTTAGCTTGTCTCCTTATATCGTGCAAATCTATTGAAAAAATATTACAACTACAAGTACACTAATGTTTAGCCAATTACGTCTATAGAGACCGAAAATACAAAATGTAGAACTGTTGCCAATTGTTCATATTTGTATGTATTCAATGTATATAAAGTAGTATAAAATGATACGATATCAAGAAATGCGAATCTTTTTATGAGATTATAAAGGATAATAATAAAACGCTTGTTTCTTTATAGAATAAAACATGTTTTTTCTTTTAGAAACATTTGGGAAGGAAATTTGCGAAGTTAACTTACTAATTCCAAATAATATTGTCGTATTAAATTGCGATCTCGGTCAATTTTTAGCAGATTAAATTCTTTGAATTTTTTTAAAAAAACTACCCATCGAACCTAATTTGTCGACCAAGAATTTCAGATAAGTTACCTCTTCTATCTTTGTTTGTAGTTCAAGCATATCTTTCTCGAAGTCTTCAATATTTGTTAGAACACTTAGATAAGAAGATAACTCTGATTCAATCATTTTTGCTTTTAGATTTCTGATTTCATTCATATTGGAATCTATAGCAATAAAAATAGCGCGAATCTCTGTTAAGTTCCGACTACACTTTTGTTGTTCTAGTTTTCTAAGTTCTCCTTTCACAAACACAGTACGAGCCAGAAGGATTTGTTTTCCCGTTTCGTAACAGGCCATTGCGTAACAGACAAATCAAATCTCTGAAAAAGAAAACGTATACAATTATGTTATTTCAAACATGATTTATTTTCCAAATAAATGGCCAAATATCATCAATTTTAGGAGATCACATTGTCCTTATGCTAGAATTTCATTGCTTTAGTTGTATTAGGAATGAATTGATAATGCATATCGGGTGTTTTGTGGTCAGATTGGTTCAGAGATGGGAAGGGGTAATTATTTTTATAATATCATTGTTTTCTTCATGTTTTATTCTCACTTTTTAATTCATTTTTTTCATTAGTTTATTATTTTATGTCACACATTACAAAAATTAATAAATAACAGTCTGATTATTTTTATGATATCCAATGTTACCAATACAGACATGTAAATTGACCATTCAATCATTGAATTATAAGAGACTAGTAAAACATTTATAATAACACGATAAAATATCATACTAATCATAAAATTATATTCAATTATAAATAATAACTAACTACACAGTACAAATACTATAAATTTATGGAAAGAGATATACATTTATATATTTATATGATTAAAAAAAACAGTCGCTATTTTTTATTATTTCAAATAATAAACTTCTAAATCATCAGAGACATGACATATTACCAGTGAAACTTCTAAATCATAGAGCCATGGCATGTAACCAATAAACTTCTTAGTAACATGAAATGTTACCAAAGAATTCCTAATTCATTCGAGAGACTTGACATGTTAGCAATAAACTTCTAAATAATAAACTTCTAAATCATAAACTTCTAAATCATAAGAGACATGACATGTCACTAATAGACTTATAAATCATAAGAGACATGACATGTCACTAATAAACTTATAAATCATAAGAGACATGACATGTCACTAATAAACTTATAAATCATAAGAGACATGACATGTCACTAATAAACTTATAAATCATAAGAGACATGACATGTTACCATTGAACTTCTTATCTGTAAGTAACATGCATGTAACCGATGAACTTCTCTTCTATAACAGACTTATCTTGTTACCAATAAACATCTAATATATTAATTAAACAAATGTCATGCAATCAATTAACTTCTAATTATAATTTATTTGGGATATTTATTTATTTATTTAAGTCTCATTCATGTACATACACAAATAAAATTCATAAGCAAACATAAAACACAGAAAAGTACATGACCATTCAATCATTGAATTATAAGAGACTAGTAAAACATTAATTTTATAATAACACGATAAAATATCATACTAATCATAAAATTATATCCAATTATAAATAATAACTAACTACACAGTACAAATACTATAAATTAATGGAAAGAAATATACATTTATTTATTTATATGATTTAAAAAAAACAGTCGCTATTTTTTATTATTTCAAAATAAGAAAAAAAAATAAAAATAAATAAAACACATACATCAAAACATAAAAAAATATAAAAAATACAGTAGCATGTTCTATATAAAATATATCATTTACACAAGTAAGATTGACGACGTTGAAGAATATTAAAACAGGTTTTGGCACATTTTATGACTAATGGTTGACTAGAGAACAAAAATGCAAGTTGGTTGTCTTTGCTAAAATTAATAAAAGAAGGTTCGTGCAACACAGCCTTAGAGAGTAATTCTGATCTAAAATCATCATATACTGGGCAGTCTAATATAACATGCTGTTCATCTTCAAGTACATTACAAAAAGGACAGTGGCGTTCATCTATTCTCAGATTCTCGTACCTACCCGTTTCGATACGAATAGGGGCTACCCCACACCTAAATTTACAAAACGCTGACCTATGCCCAGGGGGTTAGATCATTTTACAGTACTCTTCTGAAAAATGTTCCTGCTTAAAAGTTCAATAGGTTCTCAGTTTATTCAGACCCCTACCTGACGGGCCCACTGTACAATTAATTGAACGGATCCATTCAGCCTCAAATCCCTCTAACGTCAAAGATTCAACCTGGCGCACAAAGGAAGTTTTAGCAATGAGTGAAGACAAGTCGCAAAACATACCAAGAGTTAATTCATTCCATTGCTTTTAGACATGATAAAACCAATTTTTACATTGAGGAGCACCTTTTGTCAACGACCAAAGTTCAATCCGTTTATTTAGTCTACAAGTATTTGTTTAGGAAAGGCGAACCCAAAAAGTGGCCACTGCTTTCCATTGCCGGACCAAAGGGGGGACCCAACCCATATCTCCTGAAACTGCTGCATTGGGCGTATATTTTCCAACCCCAAGGAAGAATCTCATAGCTCGATTATGGACAGCATTTATACAAGAATATGACTTATGACCCCATAAGGAAGCCCCATACGCAATAACGGGCCATACAAAAGAATCATACAATTTAGTAAAAACGCTATGAGGAACCCCTCCAACTAACTTACACTTGGCTATCAGTAAGCCTAACGCACGGCTAGCGCGTTGTGCCACCATCCTAGCTGTAACATTAAAATCGACATGCTCATGCAAAAAGATTCCCAAATATTTGTATTTATCAGCATAACTTAACGTATCATGACCACATTTAAAGACAAAATCTGATTTAGTACAGGATTCTGGGCGGAAATGAACAATGTTACTCTTGCTTGTATTTATTGACATGTTGTTTATACTTCACCAATCGTTTAGACCATTTAATAAACATTGTAAGTCACGATCGGTTTCCGCAAGTAGCACAATATCATCAGCATACAAAAAAATACATACAATTTCAACATCAATTGTTACACCAATATTTAGAGACTTAAATTACAACGCAAGATCATTGACTTAAAGTTTAAAAAGTAAAGGTGATAAAACACAGCCTTGACGTAAGCCACAGTGGACGTCAAACCAGTCAGTAGTGAACGAATTAATTCTAACACATGATGCTTAAGATGTGACATGTAACCAGTGAATTTCTTATTATTAGAAGCATGGCATGTTATCGAGGAACTTTTATTTCATTAGTTTCAACATTGTTGTCAAATAACGAATTGTAAAAATGTGACATCAACATTTTACTTAAAAGTGCCCGGCATTTGATGAATTGCATGTCCAAGCGTTATTGTGTAAATGCGCACTGGTTACATAGTACATTGTAAACAACATTTATATAAAACGTGTAGGTAGCAAAAAAAATCGATGGTTGAAAGAAAATGTATGCATAGAGGATATTTTATTTTGTTTTGAATGTAAGATTGAAATATATATCACTGGGTGAACACCACATGCAATATTTTCACGAGTAGCGTAAAAATATATTAGCTGGTCACGAATGAAATATATTTCAATCTTATATATGTAAAAGAAATAAATTTTCTTTTTATTTCTTGCTTTTTAAGTGATTTTAAATATTTTTTTTACTGATTTTGCCGCGTAACGTCGTGCATTCTCCTTTATGAAGTCATCACATCATGTCGTCACATCATCTATTTTGAAATATAGGTCTGTTAAACTTTCTCTAATTTTGTTACATTCTTAACATGATGTATGATGACAGCCACTTTTTTTCCCTAAAAAAGCAAAACTAACGTATGATGGCATTTGTTTTCGCCTGTTATTCCATTTAGTTATGATATTCTTTTCATCCGCAATCAGATATAGTCCGGCTACAGTGAAAATTATATTTTATAAATTTCTTTAGTGATTTATCAGAATATAATCATCTGATATATTACAGTAAAACACCGAAAAGAATTAAATAAAAATGAATAAACTGTTCATCATATTTTCGAAAATTCATGTTAAATGTTTAACAGTTGGGTTTACAAAATAAAGAAAACAAGCTATATATATATATTATTAAGAGAAATTTACGTACCTTGTTGCGTTTGAAAATATTAATGCTAATTATTTGTTAATTATTTCTTTGTTCTCGTTCAGATGTCTTGAATTGTTTATGCACAGACTGTTGTATTTATCACATATACAGTTGTTAAAACTCGAATGTTTTATTTGAAAGTTATCACATTTCACTCCCTGTTATGTAATTAGCTACAACAGTTTTTTTTTTAAATCATATATTAGATATTATATAATCATAGAAACTGCGAATAGCTGATTAGCCGATATCTTTGTTTGATAAGAAGCAAAGTCACAGGTCACAGATATTTATGGATAAACTGCCTAGATACTCAACTGTTTATTAAAGCTACATGCCTCCAGATAAGTCAATATATTTCAATAAACCCAAACTTGAGAAATAATGTATTAAAACGTAAGGAAAATTAAAATGTTTCAAGATTCAAGCAATATTTTACATTTTATGTATGATTAATGACTGATTATCAGTATTTACAACTATATTTCTACTGCGTTACTTACGCAGTAATGTCTATTTATACATATTTTGACCATTTGTTTGGTAATTTAAGTGATTTGTAAGTGCAATTGACAGTATGTAAATTGCTTTCTTTTGGGTTCTTCACAATATTACACATTCAAATTCATTTTTAACATTTTCATAAAAAAATAGCATGAAACTGTAGGAAGGCTACTTTAGAAAGAAAATTGCGCTTAGACCTTGAAGATAGATAGAGTGGCACTTGTTTAATGATCTACTTTTAAATCTGTTAAAGTATTACACTGCTGTCATATGAACATGAACGAAAAATTATTTAGAGTATGATAACAGAAGCAAGCAAGATATATCTCGTTTCAAGTAATTAGTAAATAATAAGCTATGAAACCAACGTGACGTCACCGTTCTACAATCATATTCTTCCAAATACTGGATTTTTTCTCTCGATGCAATTATGTTTTTCATGGTAACTTATGTTATAACTCGTTGAAAAGCTTGACGATATAGCACAGCAGGAATTTTCTCTTGTTTCATCAGTGGCTTTGTTGTTACTGCTTTTGGTGATATAGCACAGGGTACCTGTAATTCTGAAGTTTATCAGATGGCACAATCGTCCTTAAAAATGCTTTTGTAGCGTTTTCGTTAACACGAGATTTAGTTTTAGAAATTTTAAGAGCCGTTGTGGTGTCGTTAATACATTTTTCAGATAATAAGAGCAAAATGAGGAATATTTTTGGCTATAATGCTTGTAAACAAACGTCTATGTTCCCGTTACAAACATTTCTATAGATTCGGTGATTTAATTGAAAGGTTGTAGTGATCCGAATGAAAATGGTAACATCAGCACTGTTTATTAGATCAAAGCACTTAAAGCTCCGAGAACGGCATGCGGAAATTATAAATTATGCCTTATGGCAGCCAATGGCAACACAATTTCTTGTTGTTTAATAAGGAGGTTCCGTATTGATTTGGTGTATTTTCAATACAGTTTCGGTATAAACATATGCATTTTGCAGTAAGTAAATGCTAGGGTATATTGCTGTTATTCACTTTATTATATCTTGTAACAGTCGAAATTAATGACTTGGTTCAAAGTTATATGTCATCCGACATTCTTAAACTGACGATGATTGTGAAATACAAACAGATTTTAATACTTCACAACAGCAGGTGTCTAGTGCTGTGTGGCAGATGTAAAAAGTTGTTCAGTACATAATTACAGTGCTATTATATTTTTCTTGTCCTTCGAAATCATTGAATCCGACACTTTTAAGTGTTGAAAATTAAGCCGGTGCTAGGGCCGTTGCACATTTTCATAATCCGTCATGGACAGAATCAAACCTAAAATTGCCATGTAATTTTGTTGTGATTTATGCTACCTCTGATCACACTTTTTTTCAGATTGTTTTTACTAACAAAACACGATTACGAAATCTAACTTTCATACTTTTACTTTTTAGAGTCACTTTCAATCCGTATTATTTCCGGAACGATTTTGAATTATAAGCTAGGTGTTCCGATTTTTATTGTGCAGGTTACAAGAAATTCTAAGATATGTTTGGATGGTGTTATGTATTAGAAACATAACATGTAAGACGTGGACTTTTAATCTATTAGAAGCAGGATATGCAATCTAGGAACGTTTAATTCAATAGAGACATAGCAAGATGTTTCTAACATGGTGGTCAACGCAATGAATGGAGAAAACGTCAACATTTTACTTAAAAGTGCCACGCATTTGAGAATTGCTTGTCGGCTTTCAGGAGATCTTTCCAAAGTAAGAACATATCAGTTAAGTCTACCAATATCATACTTGCATCATGGAGAAAAGATACGAAAAAAAATATGTGTCTTATATTAATCGTTGGACCAGATTCTGTAATGACAGACAGATTAATTCAGTTCAAACAGATTTAAATTTTGTCTTAGATTTTCTTACAAGTCTCTATGACAGTGGATGTAGTTATAGTGCCATTAATACAGCACGAAGTGCTCTTTTTGCTATAGGTATTGTTAAAGATGTGTTTTCCATTGGATCTCATCCAATAATAATCAGATATATGAAAGGTATTTTCAACCTTCAACCTTCGGTTCTAAAATATTGTGAAACATGGGATGTATCGGCAGTACTAACGTATTTGAGGAAATTGTCACCAGTTAGCAAACTTTCATTGAAGCGTTTGACTCTAAAATTATGTATGTTAATCGCATTGACTTTGGCAAGCCGGGTTCAGTCTATATATTTACTTGATATCAAAGACATGAGGAAATGTTCTTCATCATATATTTTGCATTATAGTGGGTTATTTAAACAGTGTCGTGTTGTGTTAAGTAACCCTGTTGCTGAATTGAAATCTTATCCTCCAGATAGAAGATTGTGTGTTGTTTTTGTGCTTAAGGAATATTTAAAGAGGACTGCGAATCTTTAACAGGGTAAAACATGTTTATTCACCAGTTACATTAAACCTCATAATGTAGTCACAAGGGATACAATTAGTAGATGGTTTGCGTACAGTTACGTACGTAATGAAATCCCACAAATAAACGTGACTTACCTTTGTTAAGTTGAAGTTTGGTTGGAATTTTATGTCGTCATACACTTCGAAGGGGATCAAATGCCCTCCCCTTCTCCCTCTCTTATTTTTTGATTGTTTTGATAATGGAATTTTAAGCAAAGCTAGATTTTTAAATTTAAAGACTGATTTATCACCACTGATTATGCGCGCGCATCTGCAATGTCCAAACCAACAGCAGTGTATCAATGCCCATTGTATATAAAAGGCATTGTATAAAATGTTTATGTACAACGTGTTATGGGACAAATATATATATATATTCTTATCAATTTTTATAATATATAGTAGACAAAGGCAAACCATACGGCAAACAACATACTGAATAGATTGAAACTTTGAATTAAAGTATGAAAATAAAGAAAAACAAGGGAGCAATGTTCCCAAAACACTTCAACAATATTCAAAAGCAAACGAATACTTATTTTTTTATCTCTTTAAATAATTTCAATAGATTTAGATAAAAAAGAATTAATTTGCTTAATTTTAGACAAATCTAACATACAAATACATAATCTATGTATAGGACGATTTCCTACTCAAGCAAACAACCTTCCTGGCGTTTAATCCGTGCGGAAAATAATCTAAGTTCTGCAAATAAAGCTTCTTATATATATATATATATATATATATATATATATATATATATATATATATATATATATATATATATATATATATATATATATATATATATATATATATATATATATATATATATATATATATATATATATATATATATATAACGAACGATAGAGCAGCCAGTTATATGATTGTATTCTGTGGTTATGCCGGCAAAACCTTAGCCATATCTTTAAGATATGTCTTGTTTGTTGAGCAATAATTTATCATTCAATTATAGACCCAAGGCAATCGTTAATCTCAAACATTTTGAAACAGGAATAATTGAATGCAATGCAAACAAAATACAAAAGGCTTACAATATTGCGATTTATGTGAATAGAGATAATAAGAGTGCAATATCGTCCTGTCATTTAAATCTAAAAACTTTGTTTACAAGTACTTCTTTTATCGTGAATGATAAACGTACAAAAAGGAAGTTTTAATAAAATCAGCTATCAGTAAGACAGAAGTTAGTTTCATATTGTAATTATATCATGGTGGTAAAGCATTGTTTATCATAACATAACACACGTTTCATGGATAGTTGTATCAAAATACTGTTATAAAAATGCCGGCGTCTCCGAGTGTCGTTGTCAGGGATGGCGCGGAAACGTTAGCACTATATAACGTTAAAATTGATGAGGATTTACTTCTGAAGATTATTTGTAGAAATAGATATTTTAATTTAGTGGTATTCAACCTAAATAGTATAATATTGGAAAAGGGCACACTTCTATTTTTATTCTTGACTACCTAGGCCATCTAATATAGACCAGTCACCTGTTCTTCAACAATTATATAAGGCACCTGAACACTGCACATTGGGATACTCCTTTTATATTAAATACGGTAGTGATGTCGAAATCACCTTTAAATAAATACAATCCTTGCACACAGGTGCATAAGTACTATTGAACACATAAGAGAAACATATTGAAACTTAATCAATTTTAATATATGTATATATATAACTCTTTAAACTTTAACTATTCAAACGTTGAAATATATTCCAAGTTTATCTTATGAACGTATTGTATGATAAATAAATTATACAAAAGCTCTGTGTCTTTGTTTTAATTCTAATTTGTATGCCCTTGGTAGATTGCAATAGCTTTTATTTTCTGTCAATAAAATAGCAAAAACTTATGTAGACTTGTTGTTGTTATTATTCCAAAGGAGATGTACTTTCTGATATAATTATAGTAGCTGAGCTACTATACTGTATAGACTATTTATATGTACACAGATTTAAACCGTACTGTATAAGGTGCGGATTTTGACAGCTGCGGATGTTTTTGTTTATATCGGAAGTTGTTGTTACTACGGATTATTTTTAGCTGCGGAAGCTGCGGATATTACTCACATAACAAATGCTGTGGTATCTGCGGAGTAAATGTATGCGGATTGCATAGAATGTTAACTAAATTATCAACTCTCTAATCATCAGTAAGCCACAGAATGCTTTGCGACGCTCAATATATAGACAAATGCGTAAGAATTCCGTTCCTTTGGAAAATGCGGACTACTTCAAGGGTACAGAGTCTTTGTCCAATCAAAATA